GAATTATGGCAAAACTAAGTTAATAAATGTTGGGTACCCGTTGAACTCAATAGTTATTACAAACAAAATAATATTTATCAACTGTAATAAATTACAGAATAAATCCTATGTGAAGAAGGAGTTAGGGAGTACAAGCAATTCTAAGATAAAATGATAATATTTATCAACTGTAATAATACATCACCAATATTATCATAAACTTGATAGACATTAGCAATTTTCTGATATCTCTTAGGTTTAGGGCACACATTAGAAAAATGATTTGGGTCACCACAATTATAGCACTTTCTAGGAGTAGTGGGTTTCATATTATGCTTTCCATTCTACTTGCCATTTTTCTTGTTTTGAAAATTTTGAAGAACTTTGACCATTTTGATTGAAAGCTGGGTTTTTGTTTTGAAAACAATTTTGTTGCTTTCTTTTCACAAAGTTCACCTCACCAAAAGATTTGTTGCCCTTGTTCACTTTTAAATCCAACTCCTTACTTTTCAAAGCATTTATAACAACATCAAGAGTCATAGGGTCCCTACCATATTTAATGGCATATTTTAAATCGTTGTAAGACTCGTATGATATTTAAAAGAACAATTGGAGTATAATCATCTATATTTTTATCTCCAGTCAGTTTAATATCTTGAACAAGTTTTGTAAACTGATCGATGTTGACATCAATCTCTTTGTTCTAGTCAAGTTTAAATCTAAAAAAAAAAAGAATCGAGCGAAAACAGTTTTAAGGACAAGAATGTTTCACTATAAAGTTCATCCAACTTATCTCATAGACTTCTAGCAGAATCATGCTTTCCTACTTTTCTAATCTCAGAATCACTTAAATTATATATAATAGAGGCATAAGCAAGTTCATCAAATTCTTAACGTCTGACAGTAGCCATAAAAACATCTTTCAAAGAAATAGTTTTAAAATATTTTTGTTGGACTAAAATACTTTTCATTTTTTGTTGTTAGATTGAAAAATCACATTTTTCCATCAAAAGGAGCCACAAAATAAGCAGTCATATAAGTCATTATTCAGAACACACAGCAGGATAAACAATTATGATTGCGCAAATAAACGATACCAAATTAAAGTAAAACACATAGCGAAGACTTGGCAGTCCTCCATCGCCTACCCCAACAAGTTCAGGAAACACTAGCGGTTCATGCAAGCTGGGTTTGTGTGTTGAGAGGGAGGCTAAACCAAATCAAAAAAATATATAAATATATATATTTGGTATCATTTAGACAGTTTAAATAAGCAGCAGAATAAATAAACGAGAATTTAGCACACACAGATTGAATCACATATTCAACAGCTAAATTAACATAAATGGACACACATATCCAACACTTAATGGACATACAGATCCAACAGTTAACAAATGTGGACACACACATCCAGAACAGCGAACAACCAATAAACAGAAAAATAAAAACCGACCATAGGAAGTTTAGAATACAATACTTGAGCAAAACCCCATGGTAGGGTTTTGTACGCCAGTTCAATGGGTACAATAAACTATTGATTTGCTACCTCTGTTGGGTACCTGTTGAACTCAATAGTTATTACTGTTGACACCGAAATTTCAAAAAAAATCACCAATTAATGGCCAAATAAATCGGTTATTAATTTGGTCTCAAATCTAAGTTAATAACATATTTGGGCTTTACAAATGGATTAATCCTTAAATAAGCAATAAATTATTATTTTACGGATTATCTAATTGAGCACAAATCTAGCCCAAATAATCAAATGGCAAGTATCCAAGTCCATCGGCCCATGCTACAAGTCAAAACTCTAGCTCGTGCCTATAAAAAGAGACCTTCGGTCCATGCAATAGATAAGACTCACACAGACACATATCGAGCTCTCAAGCTCAAGTCTCGAGCATCCGCCTCGAATTCATAACATATTTGAATTCGAGCTGTACGTGATAGTAAATCATTCGTTCGATTCAAGAACAAGCTTTTAAGCCCTTTAATCAAAATTAGAATAGGAGAGAAGAATCGGGGGAATTCACGGAGATTGTAATCTGCTTTCGTTTGATAATAAATTTATTTGTTTCCTGTATTTTTCTTGTCTTGTATTTATATATTTTGCAGACTCGGAAAATTTGCGGTTAACAATTACAAACCAAATAATATTTATCAACTATAACAAGTTACAGAATAAATCCTTAAGGATTAAGAGGTTAGGGAGTACAAGCAATTCTAAGAATAAAGCAGAAATAATAAATATTACAAAGTATATTTATTATTTATGCTAACCCAACAGATCGAATTTCAGATCTGAGAAGAATGAGAGTCAATGACTCAGTTCACAGTTCCCAAAATCCACGCGCCGATCCATTGGGAGGCAACAAACAATTCCGGTGACACATCCAAACACACAGCATAAAATACTCACTCCTTCCTCACTCTCTCTTCAAGTCACACCCCAGAACAGACCTTGAAGATAATCAAGATCTAAAGCCCACAAAAAGACCATTTTTCTAGTTCTCACACAGAAATCACAGAGTACTCACACAGAACTCATACATATCACACAGATCTATAAACCACTCAAATCACAAGGCAAGTGGATATATGAACAGAAAAGGGGGTTGTAATGCTTAACTTTTTCATGTTCTCCCCATTTCTCAACGAGGGGTATAAATAAACCCAAAGATCAACTAATTCAGCAATTTCTCTGCATCCGACTCTAGCAACGCCATAATGGGCGGCAGAGGCGGTGGTTTGTTGCAGATAATCGAGAGAGAAATGAGGAGAGGCACAACTGATTATGGTTTGGGATAGAGGTGAAGTGGAAGAAAAAAGAAGTATATATGTGAAGCATGAATGACAGAGATTACCTTTCATAATCGACGGTCCAAATTAACTTTGACTTAAGTTACTGGACCTAGTATTGTGTTTGGGATGTCTCCATAGAATGGGTCATAGAATTATTGTGGATTGGGTCAGTCTCAACATATGGACCATTTGGGCCCAACTTTTCCAATAAAGGAGGGAACATAAATAGAGGGAAAATGAGAAGCAAATAAGCTGTAAAGAAAAAAGGGCATATTACAAATAAGCCCATCAGTGGGAACTTATTCATAAAGAGATCCAGACAATATTCTCCTTTACCAATAAGTCCACACATGGTCCAGATTTATGTAAAGGACTAAAATAACCCCTCTTACTTTAATATGCTCCAATTTCATCCTTAACTTACTTTAACTTCAATTTGACCCCAACTTTCACAAATTATTCAATTTGGACCCAAAACTTTTTTTTTTTCACAAATTTTTTTTTTTTCAAAAACTTTTTTTTCCCGCCGGATTCCGGCATTGACTTTTTAATTTTTTTTTTTTCCTTCCGGATTTTTTTTCCGGATTCCGGCGTTGACTTTTTATTTTTTTTTTTATTTTTTTTTTTTTTTTTCTTCCGGATTTTTTTTCCGGATTCCGGCGGTCAACGCCGGTCTCCGGCGTTGACTTTTTAATTTATTTTTTTTTTTTTTTTTTTTCTGTAACTTTTTTTTCTGTTTAAACAGCAATATTGCTGTGAATGACAGTAATATTAACTATATTACTGTTAAACACAGTAAAATTAACTAAACTATAGTTTAACACATTGATATTGCTATATTAATCTCTAGCACATTAATATTAACACAACAAAATTCATTATTATTGTATAATAAAGTAATATTACTATGTTGTCCGTTCAACAAATGTAAACAAAATAAAAAAAACCAAAAGAATTAATATTACTGTGAGTGACAGTAATATTACTATAGCAACAGTAATATTACAATAGTAGACAGTAATATTATTACGTTACTTCGTGAATAACTCGAACAAAACAAACACCCCAAAAAAATAATAATATTGATGTTGTTGACAGTAATATTATTGTGTTTACAGTTATTTTACTGTCAACGACAGTAATATAATTACGTTGACTTGTCAACAAATCAAAAAAATAAAAAAAAATAATAATAAATAAAAAAATATAATATTGCATTAATTTACTGTCAACGGCAGCACAATTACACAAATGTAATGTCAACGGCAGTACAATTACGTTAATTAACTATCATTGACAGTATAATTACGCTAAATTACTGTCAGTGACAGCACAATTACGGTCAACGTGTAGCGGCGGGCGTGGAAAAACAAAACAAACCAAACAAAAAAAAAAAAACTTAAAAAAACACTAAAGAAAGAGACCGCCGGAAACCGGCGAAAAAATCCGGAAGAAAAGAAAAGAAAAAAAAAAAGAAAAAAGAAAAAAAAAAAAAAAAAAAGTCAACGCCGGAGACCGGCGTTGACCGCCGGTCAACGCCGGAATCCGGCGGCAAAAAAAAGTTTTTGAAAAAAAAAATTTTTTTGAAAAAAAAAAAAATTTTGGGTCAAAATTTAATAATTTGTGAAATTTGGGGTCAAATTGAGATTAAATTAAGTTAAGGATGAAATTGGAGCATATTAAATTATACTCCAAAAAAAAAGTCAAAATTGAATTTTTGTGGTCAAAATTGAACTTTTATGGACAAAATTGATTAATTTGGATTACAATTAAGAATTGGGTATAAATGATTGAGGGTAATATTGGGATATACATGAATGTTTCCTTTAGTTATAATAAATATTAAAGGGATGGGCTTATTGGTGAAAGAGATATGTCCCCTATACCTAGAATAATAAACATGCTTGGTTGGGGACTTTTGCATAAAAATCCCAAGAAAAAATGTGAAGAGAAAATGACGCAAATACCCCCACCCAAATCACGTGAATGGCATGTGGTTTGAATTCCGATCATTTTGTTTTCAAAAATGGACTTTTAAATGACCGGTGCAACAAATTAGTAAATTTAGGGATGGTCGAACAAATTCTTTTTTTTTTTTTTTTTTTTTGGTTTGGGTGCAAAGCACATAGACGTTCAAAGTATGGGGTAGTACACTTAACTCTAATATATATATATATATATATATATATATATATATATATATATAATTTAAAGTTTTACTGTTCACTTGTGGATTGACAAGGCAAAAAAACATTTTCAGCACAAGCGTTGACAAAACAGAGATTACTTACTACTGCTTGAAATGGAAGAAGAAAGACAGCGACCATTGAACGGCGGCAGCTCGATCCTCGTACTCCACGATGCCCTAATCGTGACCATGGATTCACAGTGCCGCGTTTTCAGAAACGGCGCCGTTGCAATTCAGGGTGACACAATTATAGCCGTCGGCCAATCGCAGGATATCATTTCCCACTTCTCCTCTCTCTCTCCTCAACTCTTCAACCTCCATGGCAATTTTTTACTGCCAGGTAATCCATCCATCCATTCCATATATATTTTTTATTTATTTATTATTTTCTGTCTTTTAATTTGATTTTTATGTTGCCCTACAATTAAACCTAGTATTGACTGTAATTTTGAATTTGGGGTTATTTTATGTATATCCTTATATACAAGAACAAGTTGCAAACCTAATCAAAAGTTGCAATTTTGAATTTGGGATTATTTTATATATGCTCTACACAAGCACATGTTTGGTATGTTCGATTTGGCTAGATTAGTTTCCGTTCGGGTCGATATAATCGAGCAATTTGCTCAACAATGGATCAAGTCAATATGACTTGATCTTGTATGCTTCTTAGAGCAATTATATAACTCTCTATTTGGTAACACTGATTAGTGATTACAATTCATGGAGCAAATTCGTAAAATAAAAATTTAATCGCAATTTGTAACATATACGTGTAATTTTTTTGTTTTGGTAGATAAAATTAAACTAAAGGTTAGGAATGTGTTGGGTTTGAATAGGTTTGATAAACACGCACGTTCACACCTCACAGCAGCTCGCTAGAGGGATAGCTGATGACGTGGACTTGCTGACGTGGCTCCACGGCCGCATCTGGCCTTACGAATCCAACATGACCGAAGAGGACTCTTATCTCTCCACTTTGCTATGCGGGATTGAGCTCATTCACTCGGGTGTAAGCACTACAGTTCCAATACTCTTAGGGTAAATTACAACCACCCCCTGAGGTATGGTAAAATTACGAAAATCACCCCTTATGTTTGCGTAATTACAACAACCTCCCTCAACTATAAATTTTTATACACCTCCACCCTTGCGGTTTCAAATATAGTGGAATCTTCAAAATTATATGGATTATTATCACTTTTGTACCCGTTTTATCCCGTTCGAGCTCCACATTGTGGAGCGAGGTGATCATAAGAAGTGTTTTTAGCTTGTATATATCTGTGGTGCATACGAAACTGTATCTTTACGCAAAACGAACGCAAAACGAGTACAAACCAGAGACATTCCACGGAATCTAGATGATTATGTTGAATTTGACACCATAAGGGTGGAGGTGTAAGACGATTCATAGTTAAGAGGTAGACGTAATTATCCAAACAAGAGAGTTTTTTTCGTAATTTGACCATACCTCGGGGGTGGTTGTAATTTACCCATACTCTTATAATACGGCATGCGGACATATAATAGTATGTTTTCGAAAACATCTTAGGTAAAAAAAAAATCAGTTGTTGTAATAGGTCACGTGTTTTGCTGAGGCCGGAGGGCAACATGTGTCGGGAATGGCAAGGGCGGTCGAACTTCTTGGAATACGTGCCTGTTTGACTCAATCGGTCATGGATTCCGGTGAGGGTCTGCCGGAATCTTGGGCCGAACGGACCGCTCACGAGTGTATTCAGGTTCGATTAGATACGAAATAATTTATACGAATTTATAACTCACGAGTCTAACGTAATAACCTCTCGTTTTTTTTCGAGGGCGCAGTCTCAGAAGGATCTGCACAAGAAACACCATAACACTGCCGATGGACGCATCAGAATATGGTTTGGTTTAAGGCAAATTATGAACTCAACGGATCGCTTACTTGTCGAAACAAGAGACGCTGCTAAAGAACTCAATACGGGAATTCATATGGTAAGATCTCCACTTACTTTCTTGTGTCTCTTCTCTTACACGTTTCTTTATAATTAGGTAAGGTTAGAACTGATTGTAAGTCACGTATTTAAGTTTGATGGTTGGTATATTAATTGATCGATATTTTGAAAACGTAGCATGTTGCGGAGATACCTTACGAGAACGAACTCGTGGTGGAGAGACAAGGAGTTGATCATGGGACTGTTACGTATCTCGATAAAATCGAGCTGCTGCAGAGCAATTTACTGGCTGCTCATTCGGTTTGGGTCAATGAAGACGAGGTAATGCTTTTAAGACAAATCGATTCTGATTTACGATTAATTAACCATAAACGAACCCATTTTTTCTCGTATTTTTCTTGTCCTTTTGTGTTTCTTCGTATTCTCGAGAATTACTTGTGTATATCTGTATTCGCAGATTGGTTTACTTTCAAGATCAGGGGTGAAAGTATCTCATTGTCCAGCTGCTGCAATGCATATGCTCGGATTTGCACCGATAAGAGAAATGATTGATGCGGGTGTTTGTGTCTCTTTAGGGACAGATGGCGCACCGTCAAATAATAGGATGAGCATTGGTAAGCGTGCATTCTCATTTATCTAGAGCTACTTTTTGAGGTTCTTTCGTCTAGTTTCTTGACTCCGAACTTTATATTTTGGAATATTATTTGAAATGGTACTCGGTCAAATAATGTTTGATTTTTTCGATTTTTTTTTTTAATTGGAATTGAAATATATATGACATTCCGATTTCCGATCTAATTTTAATTTCGGAGAAATAATTCTGAAAAGACCGAGAAAAAAAATTCTTCCGAAGATTACACCTATAATATCAAAATTATTCTATTTTACATTTTAGGTTACTAAAAATCAGAATTTTCCAAATTCCTCCGATTCTGATCCGAAAATTTCCGATTTTGGAACAAACTTTTCTATTCCAATTGCCAAAATTCCGATTTTTTTTTTCGATTCTTCCAATATTTTTGGAACAGAATTGGATTTCGTTTTCATTTTTCCAAAAAAAGAATAAAAAAATCCGAAGTTCTAATTTCACATCTACTCTCTTATGTTAATCCGATATCTTAGTTTCGTATTTTGTTCATCGTTATGTATTTTCCATGTAGTCGATGAAATGTACCTAGCTTCTCTGATCAACAAAGGTCGAGAAGTCTTTAGTAAAGGAACCACAGATCCAACTGCTCTGCCTGCCGAAACTATTCTCGAAATGGCCACAATAAACGGTGCTAAATCCGTGTTATGGGACAAAGAAATAGGTTCACTCGACGTCGGAAAGAAGGTACAATTGTTTTCTAATTTTTTATTTATTTATTTTTTAATCATTTTCCATATATACTCGTTATCGTTTAAGCTTGTGACGGTATCTTATTTTTTGTAGGCTGACATGATTGTGGTCAATCCTTGTTCTTGGACTATGATGCCCATTCATGATTGGTACGTAACTACGTACGCCCATTCTAACTTTTTTTTTTATGTTTTAAATTCCGTTTTATATAATAGGAAGCCGACATATTTCCATTCTAATTTTGCAGCATCTCAAGCCTCGTTTATTGCATGAGAAGTGAAAATATAACCTCTCTTATGTGCAACGGCCGTTGGGTCATGGTAGATAAGAAGATCTTGATCTTGAACGAGGTATTAACGAGCTTTTGGAAAAAAATACAGTATAACCTCAATAAATTAATACTCGATAAATTAATAACCTCGCTTACTTAATAGTTTCTTCTAGTCCCGACTCAGTAAAAACCTACTAAATTATTAATTCGATAATTTAATATTTCGCTAAATTACTAGAATTTTGCTAGTCCCGACTATATTAATTTATAGAGGTTTAACTGTAATAAGAAACTACAAGGAAGAAGTTTAATATTGTTTCTGGCAAACTGTAATTGACAGGAAGAGGTTATAGCAAAGGCTCAGAAGGTTTCCGGTGATCTTTTGAAGCGAGCCGGCATTCAGATTCCTACTAGGATGAACTTTTTGTAAATTTTCCGTTAGAATATATTTTTTTTTCCCGTATGTATGTATTAGTGTTCGGATTTGTTATCGGTATAATTGCTTACAATTCAGAGTATGTTATTATGTTTGTTTCTTTTATTTTTGGTAATGAAGGAATCTGCAGCCAACCATATAGGTGAATTGAGTAAATCTTACACTCTCGTATAGTAGCTTGCAAACCATACTGAGACACATGTTTAAAGTTTAGGAGAATATGCGAAAGCCTAAAAGTCATTTTTATATGTAACTTCTTTAGCAATACAGATACAAGCATTTTGAGTTTTGATGCAAGTCCCTCGGTTATTTCATTTTGCGAAAATACCCCCGTATTTTTTTCAGCTAGAAGTGTTTGGATACAGTGTGGAGTGTCGAAGTCACAGCCAATTTTCTTTTAATAGTTTGTTGTTAAATTTTCTGTCAATTTTAGAAGATTGTTGTTCATATTCATTTAGCTGTCAATTTCAATTGCTCACTATCAAATTTTGAGGATATAATCATGAGTACGTTGTCGATTTCCAGCCATTTTTTCACAATTTCGCTTTCAAATTTCAACCATTTTTTTTTTCTAGAATTTCATGGTCGTATAATGTCAAAAATTTCAATATCGTATAATGTAAAAAATTTCAATATCCAAAAGTTCACAGACAAATTTTGAAATTCGCTGTCAATATTCAGAATTTATTGCCATATTTGGTAAAATAATCAATTTTCAGAAGTTGACTATCAATTTTCGTAACTTCGCTAACATATTTATTTTAAAACATTTAATTCTGATATGTTTTGAGAGTGTAAATATATGAAATGTTACAATAAAGATTGAAAATAGATAAAGCCTAATTATCCACTAACTTATATTTTTATGAATAGTCTAATTCGCGGAATTGAAATTCGATTTTTGTTAAAAGTTATTATGATTTCAAACACTACAATAAATTGAACAAAAGTGTTTTTCAAGGATTAAACAACGTCGAACCGAAAAAATTCCTACAATGTTATTGAGTTTTTCGTAATTAATCGATTAGATACTGAAAAAAGTTTGGTTCACATAATGTTCTTCTTTGCATGTTTAGCTACGAAATGAATACAAAAAGTTCATTAACTCTTCATATTGTAATTCTTGACTTTACTTTTTGGACAATTTATTTCTTTTTTAAGACTTGAAGAAACATATTTTTTGGCTTAATCCCACTTTGCACCCTTGAAATGAACATTTTTTGCAGTTTAAACCCTTGAAAAACAATAATAGCACTTTGCACCCTCAAAATACAATAAATCATTCATAATGCATCCTTAGGTGGTGTTTGCAAATGCTTTTTGAAAGTGATTATGAGCTTTTTTTTTTGCTCATAATCTGTTTTCAGGTGTTTGCAAAATCAACTTTTGCTTTTGCTTCTCTTAAAATAATCTGTTTTAAGCTATTTTTTAAAAAGCACCCCTAACCCTGCTTTTCTATTTAAGTTCATTTTCCGGAATGTTTGCAAACACCCATAACTTTTAGAAATAAGCACTTAAAGCTGACTTAACTCATAATCACTAACTTCTGCTTTTAAATAATCATTTGCAAACAACACCTTAATTTAATAATAAAAGATAATTCATTTTCAGTGGGTTTTTTTTCTGAGGTGCAAAGTAACAAATTAAATTGTTATTTTCTTCTACCTCCAATGTAATTTTGAGCGCACAAAGTGGGAAAAAAATAAAAATCACACTGGATAATTGAAAAAAAAAATCTTACAAAATAAAATCAAATAAACTTTTATCACTAAAATATTCGATTGATATATCTTTTAATGCAATGAAAAAATATTGGATAGAATATTCGGAAGAAAATACATAAAATTTGATAACGAAATAGCAGAAGGATTTTTTTTTCATAAAATATTTTTTCGTGATAAAAAATATAATTTTTAAAATACCATTAAGAATATTAAATTACCTTTATTGGCTTTAAAATCTGATGTAGGGTGCATTATACATAGGGCTCGTTCGGTTACCGCTATAAGGTTCTACTGACTAAATAGTAGGGGCTAATAGCATGTCCGGTTGGTAAGATTCACACTTTTTCAAACCCGCTACTAAAATCAAAGCCCGCTATTAAATGCTACTATTTCTTTAAATTAGTAGCACCCCTCCCCCTGAGATTAATTTAATAGGGGGTGACTAAAAAGGAAAAAGACAATTTTATCCTTAAAATCATATTTTATTATTGTAAACTAAGTGGTTTTATAGACAATTCATATATAATAACCGATTTTAACAAATTTAATAGAAAATCTAATCGAAGAAACCGAACATGCTACTAACTAAATAATTAATTAGTCAGTAGGGAGTTAATCCAATCTCATGTAATCCAATCTAATCCAATATAGGTAACCGAACGAGCCCATAATATATTGTGTTTCGAATGTGCAAAGTGCTATTAATTTGTTTCGAAGATAAAAAGTGCCAAAATAACATATTTTAAGGGTGCAAAGTGCGACTAAGCCTATATTTTTTACGTTAGATGAAGGCTTAGGTCATTTATAAACAAAGGCCATTTATAAACAAATATTTTTGTTACCACTTAATCCTCATCGGGGTATCTTCTCAAAGTGTGTCTTTTTTAGTTTTTATTAAGCTTCTTTAAATGAATATATGGGTCTTAAGATATAGGTCTCTAGTGACAAAACTAATTTGAACTAAATGAGAGGCTCAACTAAACATTTGTTTCACATCCTTTATTATATACATTCCGAAAATGCCCTTTCACTAATTTTTCTTTTTTTAATTTTCACTCTAGCATTTTTTGCATTATTATAAATAAAAAAATATCCTTATTTTTCGGATTTCGGGTTTCATTAAATAATTCAACAGATTTTTAAAATACTATGGTATACTATATTGTACTATGGTTTTACACAATTATTAGAAAAAAAAATTATACATACTATTTTTCGTTTTTTTTTTATTCAATCTACATATATTTTAATTTTAATTTTATTTTATTTGTTGTCAATATTGTAGTAGACTATAGTATACTGCATAGTCTACTTCAGTGTATGATATACTACGGTGTACTATAGTATACTACGGTGTACGACGAAACCCTAGCACCCAACAACACCCAATCCTTGCCAACCCTAGCCGTCAAACCCTAGCAGCCAACATCTGCAGCCGTCACAATCGTAGTCACCTACCAACTTTGGGAAAACCTAGATATACCACTTTGAACCCAAATCAAACACAATCTCTTGAAGATCAAGAAAATCAGATTTAAATGATAAAAGAATATATACTTTCCATCAAACCTCCGCCATAACCACATCCTTCCGCTGTCTCGACCACCACATCCCCGCCGCCGCCTCGACCACCACAGCGGCACAGCCCCCACCGCCTCGACGACCGTAGCATCACAACGCGCCGCCGCCGCCTCGATAATCACAACCTCTCACCCCCGCCTCGACAACCACAGGCCCAGCCGCCGCCTCAACCACCACATCCCCCGCCGTCGTCTCTTCTGCTACTGCCCATTCCTTGTGCTACTCTGCTACTGCCCCTTGTGCTACGTGAAGAAAACAAGAGAAACGTATAGAGATAGAAAAATAACGTGAAAAAAAAAAATATGTGAAGAACGTGTGAGGGAACGTGTGAGAGAGATGGAGAGAGAGAACGTGGGAGAATATTAAAAGAACGAAATAAATCTAGATTGGAGAAACGTGAATATGTAGGTTAGATAATTTATGTTAAAAGGGCAAGATAGGGATTAAAAAAAATTAGAGATGTGGCTCATATATTATTTCAAACTAAGGATTTAATTAAAAAAATGAATTTCGACTTGTCATTTAGTTCAAATTATGTTTCGTTTGAGGGACTTATAGCATATTACCCCATGAATATAATATATTAATAACTATTTTTCATCAAATATAATATTTTAACAGCTTGAGTTATAAATAATAAATATTATAAAGAAGTAAAATATAAAAACAATTGAATAAATTGAATTTTAATTATAATCTCCGTTAAGAAACCCAAATTAAGGCACTTATCAAATTTCGCTACTTCTACGCAGAACAGATTAACAGAAGACTCCACAAGTATCCAGAATCCATCCGTTACGTTCGTGAATTGACCAAAAAGCCCCTATAGTACCCCAAAATATCTCCCCGAACCTTCCAGAAATTTCAAAATTCCCCCCTTTCTTCTTCCCCTCTTCAAACCCTTACTCCAACTTCCCCCCTATAAAATCTCCCCCTCATTCGTAATCTCAAATCAATAACCAGACGCAAAAAAAACCAAAAAAGAAATCTTTTTTATTCATCTTCACAAAACCTGCAAAACACACACAATCACACACTTTTTTCTCACACAGTAAGAATTTTGATATGGAGAATCCATTCTTCGCTAACCGCCGTTTTTACCAGCAACCGGATCACACCCGCCGCCCTTTTTCCCGCAACCCTTCGTTCCGTGGAGTGCCCGTTTACCCGATCCGAGAAACCCCTCAACCCGCCCGACCCGTTCAGCGCCCGTCGGAGCCGAAAGTTGTTCGGATTCCGGTTCAGTTCGTCGGATCTGAGAAACCGGACCGTCGGGTTTCCGCTTTGAAGATACAGAAGGTTTTCAGGGGCTTTTTGGTCCGGAAATATTTGAAGAAGATCAAGGATATCAAGGTACAGGTGGACGAGATTGGAGGAAAGCTGTCGAACGGCGAAATCGTGGAGTTGGTGAGAAGGAATGAGAAGGAGCGGCTGAGATTGAACGAGGGTTTGATGTCTCTGCTGATTAAGCTGGATTCGATTAGCGGACTCGATTTCGGGGTTAGGGTTTGCAGGAAAGCCGTGATTCGTAAGGCGATCGCGTTGCAGGAGAGGCTAGATGAAATTGTTGCCCTCGATTTCGAGGGTAATGGTGAGAGCGGTGGTCCGATTGAAAATTCTGAAATTGGGGTTTCTATGGAGATTGACGACGAAAAATTGGGAAATTTGGAGGGTTCTGTTGGCGATCAAGAGGATTGTGGAGATGATGATGTGATTGATGTTGGGGTTGATTGTGAGGTGAAAGTGGGGGGAGTCGTTTGTGTTGATGAGAATCTCGATTCGGTTGAAGAGAGTGCGGAGTGCGTGAAGGAGAGATTTAGTGAGAGAGATGAGAGAGAGAAGGCTAATGGTGGAAACGACGATAGTACTAGAAATAGGGAGATGATGGAGAAGTTGATGGAGGACAACGAGAAGATGATGAAATTGATGATGCAGTTGCTCGAGAAAAACGAGTCCCAGACGAAAGTGCTGAACGGGCTGACGCACAGAGTTGAGTTGTTGGAGAAGGCTTTCTTGTGCGAAAAGCTGAGGAAGAAGAAGAAGAAGATGGCAAAGGGTGGTGCTGCTTGTAGAGAGGAATGACATGTTTTTTTTTTTTTTTTTGATTCAATCACTCTTCTTGTTCTTGTTTTATATTTATTTAAATTCTTTTTTAGGCTTGGTTAATTCCGACTTTCGAATTTTGATATGAATCGGAGTTTGTTTGTTTCTCTTGAACATGTGGACTTTAGTCGTTCGTTGTAAACGAATCTCGAACTTTTGGACATTTGTTCCACATTATACACATGATAGTATCATAGTACCGTCGTCTGGTTAATCAAGAAGCGAAATTGCTAGCGTGTCTGTTGATCATTTAACACAGTTGGTGTTTGTTTAGTAATTTGTTTGATCAAATTATCGACTACGAGTTGTAGTCGAGCCTCTTGATGCGCCTAATGTTATTGTTGAACTCATTTTCGTACATTCGATTTCGATTTCTACGTTGTGATACTCTATGTACATGTACTTCTTTCCCCTCAAACAGTCAACCCTTGAATCTCTAATATGATTAGCTATATGATATAATATAATATATAAACATGCATTGTTGACTTTATTAGTTGGCTTTTTTTTTTTTTTTTTTTTACTTTATTACGTAGCATTCTGGTTGCATTGACAAGTAGTTCTAAAAAAAATGCATGAATTTTGAGAATTAAAACTACGGAAAGCATTTTAAATCCAAATTTTTTGGGTTGAAAATGAAATTATAGAATTTCAAGAATTTAAAAATATTATCCAGAATAGAGATATTCATAAAATTTGGGTGTTGTTTGTAGGCTGAGAACAAATTGCAAAATTCCATAAATTTAAAAGGAAATTAGAAATTATTTTCATAATATATCTTTTTTCTCCAAAATTTTTTGGCGAAATTTTTAGGTTATGGAAAATAAAATTGGGGAAGAAACATGAAAAAAACATTGGGAGTAAATTGAGCACAGGAGATAAAGAAAGAGAAACACCTTTTATACACGACCAGATGAGTATTTTCGTCTGAAATTGTCTGACATCTAGTGCAATGGTCGGTCAACTTTGAAAAGGAACGGATCCGTTTGACGGCAGAGACTGCGACAGTTGTGATAGTATATGGGGGCAATGTATTTAACCCAAATTTATTTCATGTATTTAGCTTTGAAAAAGGTGTACCTGAAAATTACTTACCCCTTTCCCAACCAACAGTTCCATATTTGTTTATGAGAGTTTATCGGATATCTTTTGTTCTTCAATGAGCAAATGACCTTGATGCCACGGGTGGGCTCCTAAAGTTTAGGGTCCTTAAGGTAAAATGAAAACTCATGAAGCCCTCTATGCTAAATTTATTTTAATTGGAATTTTCTATAATACGTTCGTGTTATTTTAAGGTCCGTAAACTGTCACAATTTTGGATATTTCAATTTAGAGCAACTCCAATGGGTTATCAAATAGAGTATTCAAACATTTAACTCTAATTTACATACTTAAAAATAGAAATTTTTAACTCCAATGGAGTTATCAAATGAGGTTTCCATTTTGATAATTCACTTTTTGGGTTGTAAAAATACTTGCTGGAAATTGAGTTATAAAAAATGTAACATCCTAAACATCCAATCAGTAGTTGACACGAGGCAATTACAAATAAAACCACTCATAAACTTTCAATAGATAATTAATTTGATAACCATGGTTGGAGTAGATGAATTTTAAATCAATATTAAAATAATTCTCAAATATCAAATAACACGAACATATTATAGAAAATAACACGAACATATTATTATAGAAAATAATTCCACTCTAAAACTGTTGACAATGATTATTTTTTAGTTTTACATTTTTAAAACTCTCATGTTGTTCTCACCAAATATCAAAATTGAATCGATGGTTGCTAAAAATTTCAAGATATTATATCAAAAGGGTGTTTAGCTAAACTTATAAGTTGCTAAAGAAAACTTATAAGATGTTTAAGAGCTTATAATCTTCTTCCTAAATGTCTTGTAATTTTTTTCTAAAAACTTTAAAATTTTAAAAAATAAGCTGCTATAGAGCTTTTAAGATATTTTTATAAAAAAATATATGTACCCCACTTTTTTATTTAAGATCTTATAATGAGTAAAAATAACTTATATTAAGTTCATTTTCCAAACACTATAAAGATTAATTTTAAGAATAAGGCGAACAATTTATCGGCTCTTAAAATAGCTTATCTCACGTAAGAGTTTTTTAGTTGTTTAAAATAAATTTAGCCAAACAGGCTCTTAGCTTAGCTATTAAAAATAACTTATAAGATGTTTAAATGCTTATAAATTCTTCCTAAGTATTTGGTAAACAAAATCAAAAAATAAACTGTTGGAGAACTTACAAGATCTTTCTAAGTATTTATACCACACATTTTTAACGGGCAAAATGATGGTGTTAATCGTAATTTTCATTTAGATTTTATAATTCCTGATTAAATATCACCAATATCGAAAAATAATATACTGTCCTTATGATATACAATTTAGAGCCCGTTTGGCTAAGCTTATTTAAAACATCTTATAAGCTCCTACATCTGATAAGATTTTTTAGGAGCTGATAAGCTGTTAGATCTTATTTTAAAAATTATTTTTTAAGGTGTTTGGATATGTAGCTTATAAGTTACTTTTTTTTTATAAGTTGTTCAGGTGTTTGGAAATAAAAGGTCTGTTTATTGCTATAATGACAAAAAAATACATGACGTCAGTATAATTGTTAAACTTATTTGACTCAAATACTTTTGTTCCTAAAATATTATTATAATATTTACAAATTATTTTTTCAAATAATAATAATAATATAAAATTATATAATAATATAAAATAAAAGTTGTAAAAGAAATATAATTTTTTTTTGTAGATGAAAGAAATATAATTTATTATGGAGATAATAAGAAATATTCGTGTATTTTTATATACATATAAAATATAAATAGAGAATAATTTTTTTTACAATTATTATGATAATTACGATAATTATATTTAACTAATTATTAATCTTGATTACAAGAATACGTTGTTTTGATAAAATATAAATATTATTAGTATTCATGTAATATAATAAAGTATTTGAGGGTAATTTTGTATTTTAAGTGTTTTAGTAAAGAAGCAAATAAGATATTAAAGAAAAAAGGTGGGGTAAAGGTACTTTTTTAAAAACATCTTATAAGCTCCCTAACAGCTTATTTTTGGAAAAAATAAGATCTTTTGTAATTTTTTTACCAAACACCTTTTAACAACTTATAAGCTCATAAACATCTTATAAGATATTTTTAGGAGCTTATAAGCTTAGCCAAACAGGCTCTTAATTAATTTTGTTTTACATTTATTGGTTTCTTTTGAAGCCGTTTCCTTTTTCACCTTATCTCGAGCATAGTAGTTAAACTCGCGAGATACCGTGATATATATCGCGAGACGATACGGTCCCAATCAAAACGATACAACTCATAATATGTATCGGCTATGCATAAATACCGTTAAATATCGCGAGATATCGTATCGTATCGCCATATCACGATACGATACGATATTTACGATATTAGTCAAAATATTAAAAAAAATTAAAAATTTAAAAAATTAAAAAAAAAAAGAAAAAGAAAAGAAGAAAACGAAATATTCACATTTTCAGGGCCTGAAAACGATTTTTAATATTATTTAATGTTTTTTTTACACATATTAGATCCAAGAAATTTACACGCCAAGTTTTATATTGATAAGAGAAAATAGGAAAAGGCCAAAGTTGGAGTTGATGAAGTTGAAGAGATTGATGAACATGAGGATGAAGACTCTCGTTTGAAATTGGTGGATGCAAAAAATTTAAGTTACATTGATCTTGAAAGATTATGAGTGATATATTAGTTTTTTTACAAATTAGAGATCACAAATTGAACTTTGTTGATGTTATTTTTATGAGCAGTTATGACTTCTGTCCTATTTATGATATATTTTATGATAATTTTTTTTAAGAAATTAGGAATGAGTGATTTGATTTTAAAATATTAAATTTTACATTTTTATAGTATTTTTATTATGTAGATATATATATATTTTATTATTTTTAATAGTTGGTTAAATATCGTACGATACGATACACGAAGGAAAACGATACGCCGATATTTTCCGATTCAATAACCATGATCTCGAGGTTCCAAATGATGATTTTGTAGTTGCTACATTATGTCAAATATAACGAATAGTTCAATCACCCAAATAGATAGTCATCTATACACATAAATACACTTTATTATTATTATTATTATTATTATTATTATTATTATTATTATTATTATTATTATTATTATTATTATTATTATTATTATTATTATTATTATTATTATTATTATTATTATTATTATTATTATTATTATTTTGATAAACAATTTAAATTAAACACTGAATGAAATATGAGCAGCAAAATTGGCCTTAACCGATTGTACATCTACAAATTACCAATGGACCGACTCGAATACTATGCCAATTTGCATAAACTCCGAATTTCTCGTAATAGGTGTGGACTAGAAAAAATTGACCAGGGTCAAGGGTCTTTATCAGAAATAACTATTATATGGGGGTCATTTCATAATTTCCATAAATTCCCCCGAAAAAAAATAAATAACAATTCACGATTATTTGATTTGGCTGTTCTGACCACCCAAACCCTCACCCTCTGTTTTCTCCTTCCTCGCATATTTTCTCTCTCTGCATCTCTCGATTGCTCTCGCAAACCCTAATTCTCGCTCTATCTATATTCAAACATATCTGTATACATCTCCCAATTCGCTTTCGAAATCTGGTTCACTCTGCAATTCTCGTATTGATTCACTTCTCTCTCCTCCTCTCTCTCTCTCTCGTTCTCGTTCTCGGCGGCGTACTTTTATTCTTGTGCTTTTTTCTGTGTGTGTTTCGGTTGAGGTTTGTGATTGGTTGCTGATTTTCTCTGTGATACCGATTTAACCTAATGGCGGAAAGCAAGCTAGATCTCCCGGAGGATCTCATCACATCTAAGCCGTCCGATCAATCGTGGATTCCGAAAGGTAAATTGCTGTTCCTTGATTCAGTGTCGATTTTCTTTTTTTCCTGTTCCTGATTTAGGTTACTTGGTTTGGATTTGGCCGTCTTATGCTTAATTTTTGAACTTGCATATATCGATTGATCTGCCTTTGAGATGTTGCTTTCAATTTGTGACCTAGGGTTTCTAATCAGGTTTTACGCTTCAGATTTAGTTTTTGTTCGTGGATTTGAATTCTATAGATTGGTTTATTTGTTCTCTTGTGGTTGCAGTTTTTTTTTTAATTTCTTATTTCTGGGAATCCGATGGACTTGATATTTTTTTTTTCGATACAACTTTTAATTGAACTACAATTTGAAGTTCAACTGAATCTATGAAGTAGTTTTGTGATGAGTCCATCACTTGAAGCCTTGTTGAGTTTTCAGTTTGGTCTGCCTTACATACCCTTAATGGGAATACTTTTTTTTTTTTTAATTTATTTTTACTTTTAAAAGTTGATTTATTTTTTCTTTTTTGGTTTCAAGCTTCCATGGGAAATGATGAGGACAAGGGGTTGGTGGGTTTACTGGATGAATCCAAAGGTAACTAGGTTTTTCCCAACCACTGTTGTAGTTATGGTGCATTTTGTCGCACATATTATGTATCTTATATACTTGCCTTGCTCTCGTTTGTATTTTTCTGCAGATGGAGCAGTGTCTGAGAGCATCCCATTGTCTCCGCAGTGGCTGTATACCAAGCCAAATGAACCAAAAATGGTAAATTGCATCCAACAAGCATTTTAACTGATTTTGATATCATCATAACTCAAGGATAATCTCCGCTTTTATGGACTTTAAGTTTATTGTTAGATATACTGTAGATATATCGACACTTACAGAGTGAAAATCATGGAAAAATCTTTGTTGAAGATTGATAATTGCAGCACAGCTGGAGTTCGTCAACATTGTGAAGAAGCATTAATATGTTACTTATGTGCATGTCGTTCCTCAAAATTTGATTCATGTTATGAGAAACTGTTTCACGTATCTTTAATCTTTAATAGCAGCAGCATCATATTGTGGGGACAGTTGTCATTGGTAGTGTGAGTTTTCTCGTGCATCATGTCACCCTTACTATGGAGTAATTATACTGAGTTAGAAAACAGATAGTGTGTCCCCCTCCTCCATTCAGATTTTACCATTTCCTTCGTTCCTATTTATTTTGCTTAGGCTTATTATTTATCACCTAAGATATCCCTCTTAAGCAGGATACCCGTGGGCCAAGTTCTCTGTCTCTTGGTAGCTCTGCTGATTTGAATCAGAAGGAGGTATGGCGTGGAGATGCAGCTGAAGAGAAAAAAGATTGGAAAAGGGTTGCTTCAGAACCTGATAATGGTCGCCGCTGGCGTGAAGAAGAAAGGGAAACTGGACTGCTTGGTCGAAGGGACCGCAGGAAGACGGAAAGACGGGTTGACAATGCTCCAGTCAGAGAAACAACTGACAATAGATCCTTACCTGCTGCTGACAGGTGGCTTGATGCAAGTAATCGCAATTCTGGGCATGAAACAAGGCGCGATAGCAAATGGTCTGTAAGGTGGGGTCCTGATGACAAAGAGAAGGATGCTCGGGTGGAGAAGAGGACAGATGTTGAGAAGGAAGAGTCACTTGGTGAAAGCCAATCTGTTGTTTCGAATAGCCGTTCTGTTGCTGAACGTGATTCAGATACTCGTGATAAGTGGAGGCCTAGGCACAGGATGGAGGCAAATCCAGGTGGCCCTGTTTCTTATCGTGCTGCTCCAGGATTTGGGCCCGAAAGGGGACGGGCTGAGGGCTCCAATGTGGGCTTTACTGTAGGGCGTGGCAGATCCAGTGTTTCAGCTGTAAGACCTCCATCTGCAGGTCCAGGTCCAATTGGTGCTGCTCAATATGACAAAAGCGGAGATACTCTTGGAAAACCAAGCCTCTCCGTTGAGAGGTTTGTTTACCCGAGAGGCAAACTACTTGACATATACCGTAAGCAAAAGCTGGATTCATCCTTGGCTCACATGCCCGACAATTTGGAGGAAGTTCCCCCGATAACTCAGTTAGATGTTGTTGAACCTTTAGCTTTTGTTGTTCCTGATGCTGAGCAGGAAGTGAGTTTATCAAACTGACTACCACTTTTTTGTATAAGTTTTGCTTGCTATTACACATGAATGTGGCCTCTGCTCTTAGATTGATGTCTTAGAAACGTAAACTGACTACCGTATTATTGTATAAACTGATCTCCTTATTGCTTACAGGCCACTCTAAATGATATATGGAAGGGTAAACTGATGAGTAGTGAAGCCTCATACAGTTCATTTAAGAAGGGTAGATCCATGGATAATATTTCAGGTAATCACTCTTTAGAAAGAGCCACTAATGTTATCTTTCTCTTAGTTTTCTACTACCTCCTATTATATTATGCTGGTTATATTACTACCCTTTCTTTGTCTTTCTTTCTAGATGTGGGAGACCTTGAATCCACAAATGGAAGACAGGCTTCCCTCTCTGCTGATTTCACCAAGGAGATACCAAATGACCTTCAGAAAGCTTCAGTGGATTTTCATGAAGCTAGTGCTGACAGCATCTTCTACAATAATATACTAAATACAGGTTTCTTAAATGGCAGAAATATACTTTTCTTTCAAATGTTATTTAGAAAGAGTTTTCAATTTTAACAACTAAAGGGATTTTTTTACTCCGGCTTCAGAAAGAAATGCTGACCGTGAAGGAAAGTATGAAGTTTCCGATGCGATGAATGGAAGAGAACTGGAAATTGGTAGTTTACAAGCTCTAAAGGGTGCACAGTTTGATGCCTTTAAACTGAATGTTGCAGATTCTGCTGTTAACCAGTTTGGCAGCGTGAAAACTGCCCCATCATTTGTTGTTACAAGCAAACTTCCTGATGAGTCAAACTCCCTTTTTGCCATGCCAACATCAGGGCAGTATTGGGAAGGCCGGCATCATGAGATTGAAAGCAGAGGCAATGAATATCAGTTAGACAGACGAATTCCTGCAGAGGAAATGAGTTTGTTCTATCAGGATCCTCAAGGGGAAATCCAGGGACCGTTTCTTGGAGTGGACATCATATCATGGTTTGATCAAGGGTTTTTCGGGACTGATCTACCTGTCCGCTTAGAAGATGCTCCTGACGAGTCACCCTTTCATGAATTGGGAGATGTTATGCCTCACTTGAAATTTCGACATGAATATGATAGTGGAACTGATTTAAATTCCAATCTAGAAAAATCAATTGCAATGGAGGGTATATCAGAACCAAGCTTACAATCTGGTGTTCCTGTTCCTCAATCTATGCCCTCTAATGCAGCTGAGCGCTCAGGCTGGCACTTGTCTGATTTTGATTCTCTCTCTGCACATAATGTTCAGTCAAAAGCATCTGAACATCAACGTAATATGTCACAACACATGTACTCTCAAGGAGAAGATTTCCGTGATTTTGGTGCCCAAGACGAAGGTTTGCTTCTAGTTACCATTGCTCAATGATTTTTACCATTTAAAAGTTACGTTTATGTCTAATTCTGTTACTTGTCTCTCTCTTTTCGAACAGAAATCGTGTTTCCTGGGAGACCTGGAAGTGGTGGTTCTGCTATGGGGAAGATTCCCAGAGGATATGGTGAACCCTCTACAAATACTGGCACCCAGTCTTACATGACTAATGAAATGACTGAGTTTGGTGTCCCTAATCAGAAAGATGGTAAGTTGCATCCTCTTGGTTTATTGTGGTCTGAGCTTGAAAGTACATATGGTAGGAATGATCAGACACTTCCGTTTGGTGGAGTTGCACAAGAGAAACTTGTGAACCCTCTATCTGGAAGGCATGCCTCTTTTGGTGCAATGGCTGATCAAACTCATGCTCCTGAGACATGGAATGATGTTTATGGAAGCAACTCACTTTCCGAATCCAACTTGTATCGAGATGGCATGGATGCCCGCCATTCTTCAAGAATGGACCAAGACTTTAACCATTTTGATTTAGTAGATAAGCTGCCTCAGCAACTTCAGCAGCAGCAGCATATTCAGGCACATAACATGATGTCACCTCATAATACGCACTTGAATGAAGCGATACTACATGCGGGTCCAAGTTCAAAATTGATGCACCACAAACAGCTAGCCAATCAAACGGGGCAAGATGTGGAACACATTTTGGCGCTCCAGATGCAGCAGCAGAGGCAACTGCAAATTCAACAACAGCAGCAGCAGATAGAACAGCAACAGCAATTCCATCAACAGCAAATGTTGAAAGAGCAACAGCAGCAGTCTCAGGCCAGGCAGATCCTTCTTGAGCAGCTTTTGCAGAGCCAAATGCGCGAGTCTGGTCGTGGACAGTCACGTATTGACGCTCTTAGATCGAACGCTGCTCTTGAACAGGTCATACTGAAGCAACAAATCCTAAATGATCTGCAACAACGTTCCCAATTTCCTTCGAGGCATTCTGACCCATCTCTCGAGCAGTTGGTTCAAGCAAAATATGGTCAAATGCCTCATCAAGCGCATCAAAATGATTTACTAGAACTCTTATCCCGTGGAAGGCATGGACAAATCCACCCCCTTGAACAACAGATTCTTCAGCAAGATCAGCTGCATGGTAGGCAGTTGGGGCTGAGGCAGCGATTGGAGATGGAAGAAGAAAGGCAACTGAATCCTGGTTGGCCGCATGACGAAGCTAGTCACTTCCACAGAAATCCCGCTTCTCATAGAGCTATTTCTGCTGGATTCGGCCCTATGGATTTTTATTCGCAACAAAAACCGCCTTTGGAGGACCATCTCCGCCACCTCGATCGCAATCTTTCAGTACAAGATAGACTTCAACAACTTGGTCATTATGACCCTGGTATGTTGCCCTTTGAGCGCTCAATGTCGTTGCCTGGTGGTGGCGCTGGGGTAAATCGTGATGTGAATTCCATGGCCCGTGCACAAGGTTTAGAAATGCAGGAGCAGATTGCACGGATGCACCATGGTGGTCAAGTTGGTGGTGGTTTTTCATCTGGTGTTCATTCCCACCCTTTAATTCCGAATCAGTTCCATGGTTCACGCTTGGACTCAGTGGAAGGTCATTTGCCTGAGAATAATAGTCAGTTATCAAATGACTGGATGGAGTCTAGGATTCAACAGCTACATCTTCACAATGAGAGGCAGAGAAGGGAATTGGAAGCCAAGAGGAATACCGAAGATCCTAGTTTGTGGATGTCGGCTGGAGCACATGACGACAGTTCAAAGCGTTTGCTGATGGAACTGCTGCATCAGAAATCTGGCCAACAATCGAACGAACAGTTTGATGTAACTAATGGAACACCTCATGAGAGAAGGCCACCGTCAGGTCATTATTCTGGGACAAACATGATTCCGAACCATCCATTTGGTGGGCTTTCGGATCAAGAGTCGGGTTTCAACAACTCATTCAATGTTGGGTCTTATGGTTCTGATTCTGGTGTACCACCACCTCAGAATCGACTCTCTGAGGGGATAACCAATGTTATGGAAATTGGTGGATTCCCTTATAGATCTAATGCTGGACCATTAGTTGATGGCAAGCCATTTGTTTCGGACATTGATGAGAACTCTCAGGTAATCCCTGATAATTCTAGCATGAAAAATAAGGCAGCCAAAAAACTAACTCTGTCTAATGTGGAAGAAAACAAAAGAGTGCTCATAAATGAAGGTAACATTCAGGGAATAATTTCAGAGGCCCAAGAAGGCGTAGCTGGCATGGTGTCTGTTGAAAGAGGGGAGATGCCGGTCACTGTCCTTAGCAGGAATAAGTCTGGATCTGCTGGTAATGTTTTTACTTTCCTCGTTTATTTTTCTTTTCTTTGACTTTGATTTTTCAATGACTAACATGCTCTGGATAATGATCAGTTTTTCACAATGAGAAGATTGGATCAGGCGATTCTCTATTGGAGGATGCTTCTAAGGATAGGTAACAAATCTTGGCTAATTTTGTTTGGCTCTGCTCCTATAATTAGCATTTATTGATATTATAATTAATGTAGTCATCTGTTTGGAAGTATACTAGCATCAAATTGAATCATTTACTGACCAACTTGTTGAATATCTGTAAAGCAGCTAAAACAACGTTCCTGATTTCTTGAAGTGTGGTTATGATGGATTTGTAAATAGATTGGAAATCTAGTAGTACCATGACATATCAAATCTATTTCACTCGTCTTTTCTATTTAAAAAGTATATCGTACTTGGGCTCTCTGCTAGATATCAACTCTTTCTCTAAATGTGGTGATTATCATAACTATGCTTGTGTGTGGATAATTTCTTGTTCGTCTGTTTTTCGTTATCCTACGTTTTTATTAATTTCTTACTCGAATTAAAGGTTGCGATCTTCAAGTTCAAAAGGACCAGAAAACGTGTTGCTGAGGCGTCCACCTGTTTCACGAGCTGCATCTTCTCAAGAAGGGTTGTCTGAACTGACTGCTGATCCAGTTGCTAGGGGGAAAAATCTTTCAAATACTCTACCTTCTGAAGGTAAGATCTTTATTCTACTAAATCAATTTGGCAGCTAATGCCTTTTTACTTATTCGATAGATTTTTTCTCATCCGTAGGGGTGAGGAGAGAACAGGGAGGTAATAATGCCGGAAACATGGAAACAACCGGAAGAAGAGACGCTGCGCAGTTTAGAAGAACATCGTCGTGTAATGATGCTGATGTATTGGAGACATCATTCAGTGACATGCTTAAAAGCAATAATACCAAAAAGGCAGCATCGTCATCATCACAAGAAACAACTGGTAATGCGTCGGCAGATTTGTCTTCGGATGGAATGTTGGCTGCTGCTCGGAACAACAAAAAGAAGGGTAAAAAAGGTAGGCAGATTGATCCTGCTCTTCTTGGCTTCAAAGTTACTAGCAATCGAATAATGATGGGCGAAATTCAGCGCATTGAAGATTAATTATAGAAAAGGAAATGCAGTTGTATTGTTCAGCAATCACTGTACAGGGTGGGTTGGGTTTTGTACATTTTTTCTTTTTTTTTTTGCTTAATTAGAGGTTAATTTTTATATTTTCACATGTATTTTTTTCGGGCATCGTGTTGCAGTCCCATTTGTGAGTTTGTAGGGTTAGTTGAATTTGTAGCTTGGCACTTTAGAAGCCAGTCTAGAATAGGTGAACATAACTTTTTTTTTTTGAATATTAGAAATGACAATAAAATGAATAAAATGTAATACTAATTATGTTTTACACTTTATTTGAAGTTGTTTGATTCGTTTCAGTCATTGGATGTTGCTACATCTAGTTGGATACAAGAATTTTTTATATTTCTTTATAAAATAATAGGAATTTGAGAAAAGTTAAGAGGGGCCATGGCCCCCCCTCTTGGCCATATGAAGGCTATGTTTGTTACTAAAAAAAAACACCGTACAAAAGTGGGATTCGAAGCAATAGTTCATTTCACAACTCCGAATTCTCTTCAGCTTCCGTGGTTACTAATGATACGGAATGGGAGCCATAATATGGTGAGGGATGGATATTTACGAAGAAGACCATCGACTGTTGAAGATTTGATAAACGGTTCGACCCATTATCCATTCCTTCTCCGAAGATGATAACTCCACTTGTTCGATTAGTTTAACCACTGCTTCTTTTGCTTCTTTATAGCCACACTCAGGAACCACATACGGAAAATCACTGCATAAGATTTCCAGCATGTTATTAATTATTTGTTCCTTCATCGAAGATTTACTCGTGTTCAAATAGAAGAGAATAAAACGTTGAGTACCTTCCCCACATGACACGGTTAGCACCGTAGCTAGAAACAATTTTTGATAAAACGTCGGACAAATCTTCATACGGATATGGATTTCTCGAAACTCTGAATAGGGCACTTAGTTTTACATATACCTGTCTCGATTTTCATTCATAAGATATGTATTGTATTAAGAGAATTTTTTTACGAATTAATATATATGTCCGGCAAATATTTATTTACCTGTGGAAATCTAGATAGGTGCAGCAGCTTTGAGAATATTTTTTCTTCTTCGTAATTTCTGTAAATCTGAAATAATAAATACATGTGTACGTGTAAATTTACTAAAATTACTAAATTTTACCGATCGGCAGCTTACGTTGGGGGTTTACAGAAACCCAAATGATCAAGTATAACAACTGTAGAAGGAAACTCCGTGCAGAGTTGTTCGATTTCCGATAAATGCAGATCAAGACCCTAGAAAACAAGAATTCCTCCATTTTTAGCATCTTGTAATAAAACGAACATTTTGTAATTCTATATTTTAAAATCGTACGACCTTCATGCACATGAAACCAACTGGTACACCAAGCTCTCCAGCTTTCGCAAACATGGCCTTCCCCACTTCATTTGTCATCTGCAAAAAAAAAAAACAAATAATAATAATAGATAAATGAATAAAAACAGAACAATTAAAATTGTCCATACTTGAAATATTAAGTATATCTTCTCTTTAAATGTTCGTTTCTATGACAAATGAATTGATACCAATTGACCAGACGGCCACAAGTATGGATTGAAGCGCACAGCACGATATCCATCCTGTAACAACGTAATTTAACGTCGTGTGATTTTAACAAAACTCAAAAAAAAAAAAAAAATTAATAAAATGTAAGATATGTTGAGATTCTTTAAAACCTTGGAAACGAGATTTTGAAGGTGTTTGATGCCTGTCCCATCTTCAGCCGGATTCGCAAGGCAACAACCAAGAAACTTCGAAGGGTATTTCTTCAAGACACTGTTTATAGTACATTCATCTCGTGCAAGTCAATTTACACAACTATTGATATCGACAACGAACAGTCAAATTTCCGGTTTAATGAGTATATTTCTGGTGATTTTTTTTTGACAAATCTGAAATAATTTATTGGAGATATTAATATTAAATGATACATTTCACTAACATTTTAAGCTTTTGATTGAGATGGTCATTCAACATGGTATCAGAGCCGGACCAAATGAAAAGGTCCAGAGTTCGAATCCCACTATTAATGATCATAATACAAACGGCAATATTTTTTTGCCTAGTGATATTTACATGAGATTTCAAGTGCATTGGATAAAAAACGACACTTTTGCCTCGTAAAACGGAAACTAGAGAAATTAAAGAAGCGTATTCGGAGAAAGTGACCTTGTTACATAAGAATGATCAAACTTATGATTGATGGGCTGCACTATAAGGGCTCCATCTACACCACCCTCTCTCATGCACTGCATCATATTATAATATCAAATAACTAACAAAATGAACCAGAAAATGCAAACAGAGCTAATTGCAGAAAACAAAAAAAAAAAAAAAAAAAAAAAAACCCTACCAAAAACTGGAAATAGTACACATACCTCAAGCAAGAAATCAACATGACCCGGTAAAGTGGGCTCCTGACCCGGAAAATACGGGTACTCCTTTGCAGCCTTCAACATCCAGTAAAATATAAAAAAATGAGCATTCTTTACAATTTCATGGAGGAAAAAAAAAAAAAACACACACACACACACACAATGAGATTTTACCTGTTGAGGGGAAGCCCATACGTGTAAATGCGAGTCGATGACTTTGGGCGGGTCGGGTCGATTTCCGGTTGACATTTGAGCGGTGCACCGTTGTTGTAATCTAGGGTTTGAATTCGACTTCCCTTTGAATCCGTTAAGCCCAGAAATATTTGAGGAAATGTGAATTGCCAGAGGCTGCAGCGAGTTCAGTTTCACTGCTGCCATTATTTGTTTGTTTATTCCCTCACATAAATAAAGTCTCTTTTTTTTTTTTTTGGATCAATCAAATTTCGCCACCGATCTCAATCGGCTCGTGAACTTTTCTATATTCTAAAAGTTCCCCTCAAGTTTCGGCGATTTATAAAACGTACCCCTTTACATTCGGAATTTTGTATTTACAACCCTTATACTATGAACTAGTAATTAAAATTTTGGGGAAATTTGCTAGACACCCCTTATTTTGTACTTATATGGCTAGAGATCCTATTTGTTAGATGAATATAGACATATGTCCTTTGATCCAATAAATTAATATAAATAAATTAAAATAATTAGTATATAGACCATAACACCCTCAATTAATAAGAAAACAAATCTTATATATCCTTTCTCTCCAATCTCACGTTACTTTCCCCTATATAATTCCTCATCTCTCTCTCCTTCTGCATCTCTACTCTCTCTCTCTCCTTTTTTTTTTTTTTTTTTTTTAATAAAGAAATATTATAGAGATGAAAAAAAAAGGATCTTTTTAGATTATGAGAGGATTTCTTTGTGAAAGAATTAAAGAGGACGACAAACATCCCCTCCCAAAAAAAAAATCAGAAATTCAAAATCCTAGCCAAATTCGCATTGTGTTTTCCGTATGTAGAACTTCCCATCGTTTGTTGTTAGCAATTTCCGTTTGCAGTTGGTTTAATTTCGTTTGTTGTTTGAAGAATTGCGTTTGATGTTGAGATTCGATTCCTCTGGTTTACAATTTGCAAGGTATGTCTTAAGTTACATTTTACAAACATTTTGTTTAATGTTTTTGTTGTTTGCAAATTGTTCTATAAACAATTTTTTGGTTGATGTTTTTAATGATGCTGATTTTTTTTTTATTTTTTTTTTCAGTTTGCTATTTGCATTTGGCCAAGTCATAGGTAGTTTATTGCTTGCAATTCAATAATGCAAGTTTTGTTGAATGTTTTTCTTCAGTTTGCTGTTTGCATTTGACGAAGTCATAGGTAATTTTTTGTTTGTAATTAGTAATACAAATTATGAATTTTGTTTTTTCAGTTTGTTGTTTGCATTTGGCGAAATCATAGGTATTTTGGTATTTGCAATTCAATAAATATAAAATGTAATTTTCAGTTTGCTATTTGCAGTTCGCGGAGTCATAGACGTCGCAGTTCCCGGATCATAGGCGGTGGTGGGCTGCGATGATGTTTTTAGAGTATGAGTTTGTAAAATAAATTTTATATTTTTGTTATGAATTAATTTATTTGTTTTAGTGTTAATATTTGGAAGAGAGATGTTTGGGAATTTGTTTTGATAGAGAGATTTTTGGGGATTTGATTTGATTTAATTTAGGGTATTTTTGCCATAATAAATATTATTATTTTATTAAAACATTAAATTTTGACTTGGATTTACACACATAAATTATAATATAGAGGGACCTATACCAAATTGCCCCTAAAATTTACCACCATTAACATTGGTTAAATATGATTGGTGTGGAAATTGAACGGAACGGATCGAAAAGAGCCCCTTTCTGGAAAATTTCGGATTCTATTGCCGAAGCAGAAAATGTTTCAATTTCAATCCAAATAATCGGAATCTAAAAACCCATTCAAAATTTGGGAATCCCTAGAAATATTTTAGAGTGTTGAAATTCTTTGAAATTCTTATCATATTTATAATTTTCGGGTATATAGTGATTTTTTTTTGAAATATACAAAATTTCTATTGTTTTTTTGGGAAAAAGTTCAATTTAGTTTTTTTAAATCTAATACGATTTATAGCATATTTATCCAAACAATTTTAGTGAGGTTGATCACATATATAACATAAAATAGAATTATATCTAAGAAATTAATCGGAAATGAGATGCGGAACCTTTTAAAATAGGGATGACAATGGGTCCGTATTAGGTAGGATTTGGATTCAAAACTGAAACGGTTGGGAGTGGGTTTTGGTCTTCTAATCGATTTTGGGCGGGTAATGCACTTTTCCTCTCTGTATGACATTAGCTTTGCGCTAAATATTCTTCCTCTCTTAATGACATTAGTTTCAAGCTAACTTTTCTTCCTCTACTAATAGCATTATTTTCGACATAAGCATTCTTCCTCTCGTTGTGATATTAGCTTCGAACTAAGTTTCGATTGACGATTTATATTTTCCTCTATAATTAAACTTCTTGTTTAGAAGTTATAACTTACGGGGATATCAAGTTGTCTTGTTTAGAGTAGTAAATTCTATTCAATCAAATATATGATTGTTAAATTATCATACTATAGTGGAGATTGATGCCAACATTTTCAAATGTTTGGGGTGTAGCTACCAATGGCCATAGTCTATGGGATGTGAATGTCAAAAATTTAATATCTAGGATTTGAATGCTAAATTGTCATAGTTTGAGGAGGTGAATGTAAATTACACTTATTGAACTTTTATGTTTGATTAATTTGAAAAGCTATTCATAGAACGTTTTTTATTGGCTTGCAGTGCGATTTATTTCATTTGTAATTTTCCAATAAGAAAATCTCAACTCTCACAAAAATCTCACAACTTTCGTGATATAGTGCACAAAATGCAGTGACTAAATTCGTCTATGAATGCACGAAATCTATGTGTTTATCATCAATACAGAGCACGAAGAACGAAAATGGGGGCTTTGATGATTTCTTTCGTTTCGTGCAGTAGTACACGAAAATGAAGGCTTATGTTTCATGTAATACTGCACGAAATCACTATTTTTTTTATTATTATTTAACCAACTTATTTGTTAACAGTCAAATAAATACAAGAGAGTTTAATGACAATAAATTCAAATAAATATTCTTAAACTCAAGTACTAATACAAATTGAACCAAAATTCAAATACAAATACAAATTACAATAAATAATATTTTATAAACTACCGATCATACTTTAATTGTTCGTACACGTGTAGTCCTAAGATTTTTAGCTCTATGATGTACCCATGCCAGACATATAGGTGGTAGAGGACTATTTGCGACTAAAGACGACTAAATTAACAAGCATGAAATGACTGTGGTGCAATGTCACAACAATCATACATGATAATTGGCCACTGTCAAACAGAGGAAGGTAAGTCATACTCTCCACTTGGGTCAAAAGTACCACCAATGCATTGTATTTGGTAGAAATGGCCAAGCCCATTTTATTCACGCCCATCCAATATGCTTGTGGACAAGGATATGAGGGTCAGTCGCTCTTGCATATCACCTCAACATATGCAATACTGCCAAAAATCGACGTGTACGTATCAGCATGCTCGTATAAATCAATAAGCAACTCCCTTTTAACTTGAGGCCATCTTTCTTGATTCATGTACATGGCTTGAGCAATGCACCAGTACCCACAATTTTCATCCACCATCACGTTGACATAATCTTGAATAAGACGGACCATAAATTTAGGCACGAACAAGGGCGGACCCAAACCCTACTGGTAGGGAAGGCTAATTTTTTTTTTTTTTTTTTTTTTTTTTTTTTTTTGTGTGGGGATATTGGATAAAATTAACAGAGAATTAATATTATAAAATAAAAAAGCATTAAAAAAATTACCAATTTTTTTTCCCGCAGAGGCGGGGGCCCCATCAAGTCACAAGGTGGTTCCGTCCCTGGGCACGAAAGAATAGAAGTCGATTCATTCATGTGCAAATATTGGAGGGGTATCATATTCTTGTGTATAGGAATACGAGAACAACGAATTTTCATCTTCGATTGAAGTGTTCCATCAGTGGTTTTATCAATCTTTGCTGGAAGGAGGTTTTGTGACCCTTAGAACCACAAGACGACTTAATTGTCACCGAATCAATATGATACTGTCATCCGTAAGGGCCTCTCTTTGTCGAGTTATTCTTTGTTCGTCCTTTGGTCTTAACAAATGATGACTCGGAATGATGAGTCGTTAACTAATGAACGATGCCACGCAATGAGGCCACAACATTTATCTTGCTCATGTAATTCATTTTCTTCAACTCATAATTCAGGTCATCAATTTGTTTATCCACAACTGCCTCACGGTTCGTTTGATATTCAGATAGCTCCGAAGGTTCAACTGCCATGATATTCCAAAACGGATGTAAGTCTGAAATGATGAACGTATCATTATCATTCATTTTCTGCACAATTTGGCACACACAAGGAAGCCAATGAGTATTCTAAAGATAGCGGGTGCAACTACTTGGATCTTGTACCCCGGGGACTTCATCTCTTGATCCAATTTTTCCAATGACAGATTCGTGAAGTAACAAATCAAACCCTGAAAGCACGACTGCGCTGCAGTATGCTTCCTTATCTTGGATGATAAGGCGAATCACACTTCAATTGACTAATTTGGGTTTGAACTTGGTCTCGAAGTTTGCCTGGCACATTATCAACACCTCCGAGCGAAGAATTTAACCAACCCTTTGCTAAAGAATGAGCACTCTTCATCTTCTCCGTTTACAACAACAATCAAATTATAATATTTATATTACTTTTATAGAATATATTTTATCGTTTAAATAACTGCAACATGTAATACCTGTTGGCGCTCGTGTTGCCAAAATGATACACATTGCGAGTATAGGTTCGAACAAACTTCTCATTGTATATCAACAACGTATCATTCAATTATTGTATCAGTCTGGGGTATATATCCTGCATACGTCCAACAATTTCATCGTAATTGTACATATACTCTTCTTCGGTTTCTGATTTTCCCATCTTAGCTCACACTCACGTTGAAATATAAGACCTTGGTCTTTGTTGCCTCCCATACATTTCATCGCATTTGCCTAAACATTTCTGTTTATATGTAAACAACATGTAATACGAAACGGGAAAGACCTTTGGCAGTGCTTTCAAAAGAGTCAACTCCTGATCTGTCAGGATCGTATCAGGTTCAACACCATCTAACAACTCTCTCAAACAATTCAATGTCCACTCATAGGTGTCTGCATCTTCATGCGACATAAATGAAAAATAATCGTGAAATTGTTGCTAACTAGAGTAATCCCAATTATTTCCAAAATAGGCATTACATCCTACATGAAACAATTTTATACATTTAAACAATAAATTATAATACTACAATTAAAATTTAAACAATCATAGAAGCTTACTTACTTATTATTTTTCTATGTGCAGCCCATCATATAACATACGAGAAAAGCCGTAGCGTAGCGCTTCGGAGCATGCAAACATAACATTTGTCATTGTGTTACTCGTTTCACTATCGACGCGATGCCGATATCGATATCCACCTTGTTGAAAGTTATGCATCAGAAACTGAATAACAGTCATCCCCTCCATTTTCTTTGATTTAATCTTGGCCAACTTATTGTAAACATGCTTCATGGAGGTTTGTATCGTCGGATCATCCTTCCTCAATCTCTCCATGATTAACATGGGCTTCACGTGACAATTTCCCAATTATTTAATTCTCGCTTTATGTTAAGGAGTTATACAACTAGTCGTACCATGTCCATAAGGAAACAACGCCGGAGGATGAGAATGCTTGCATCGTTGACAGTCAACCGCCATAATTCATCAAACCTTGATTTTTTGCCAATTAATTTGAATGAACAACCACATTTTTTTGTTCGAGTGTTTCTAGCATCTTCCACATCGATATTCGTTTGAATGCCATGTCCGTTTTTTTCACACGTCAAATACTATGTATTCTTCCTTCAAGGCTGACAAATCAAACGGTGAGAATGACTAACTGCAGTTGCTTTCGCCCACTTGATTAATTCTTCTCTAGTATCGAACACAATATCAACTTGAAAGGAGTGAGTCATATTCGTGTCGCTCCAAAACAACGGGATCAAAATACAAGTCGTCTCCTTCTAGTTGCAGCTTAAAGAAAGATAAACTAGTTTGATACTTGCAAAAAAAAAGAGGCAATACTAGGAATTTCGTGCAAGACTACACAAAATGAGATGCTTGATTTCGTACATAAATATACGAAATAAACAATAAATGAGTTTCTCCTTTATTTCGTGTAGAAAAACATGAAATAATATATACCATTTCGTGGAGTCTTGCACAAAATAAGGGAGAAATTATTCATTTCATGTAGGAGAACACTAAATGAAATGCCAATTTCGTGTCATCCTACACGATATGCATAAAAATCGTGGATTATCAGACGAAAACGCAATTTTTTACTTCATTATCGGGATCGATAGTAGCCATATTGATAATTGTTGTGTTCTAATTGATTATGTCGAAAAAGAAATCACAATCTAAAAAGATCTGTTTATTTAAAGGTTGAGAGAATTTGTAATTTGTAAAAAGTTAAAAGATTTCTGTATAGATAAATTATTTCGTACCATAACTTGAAAAAAATGCAATTTTTAATAGCAAAACCCTTGATTAATTTTGAAATTAAAATACGGTGGTAAATTGAGATTTTTTATCCACAGTTATTTATTTATTTACCAAATTTCTTGTTTGCCCTAAAATTAAATTTAATATTCGAAATTGAGAGGATTGATTTGTCATTATCAAAAGATCAAATACCCTTGCGGTCATTTGATATATCGTCATCTCCGCCACTCCCCTCAGCATTGTAAACCCCCTCCCACTCTTAACACACATTATCCTCTCTTCTCCACACAACACACAGAAACCCCCTCTCTGTACACAGTGACCTAGAGAGAGAAAATCACCGGCAATGGCGGTTTCCTATGCATCTCTGGTAACTCCACCCACCCCAAACCCTAATTTTTTTTAATTGTGTTTCCATTTATTTCTCGTTACTAATCAGCTACGAATTCGCATTTCACTTTTTTACTTTCTCGTTGAATGTCTGCTTTCATTTCTCTCTTTCAGTCGAATATGAGCTCAATTTCAGCGCCAAGGAGTTTCCCACGCGCGAAAGCTGCGAGTCCTGTTTGTTCCTTCGCGCCTGTGAATCTTCGCAAATCTGCAATTTCTTCGTTTTCGTCGTCTAACTCTTTCTCTGGTGGTTCGTTCCGCCTGTCGTCTTCGCGTTTGGCGAGCAGAACGAGCTCTATCCCCTTTTCAGTTCGGGCCATGGCTGAGGTCTATCCCTTTAATTTTTATTTAATTCCTATATTTACCAGTTTTTTTTTTATCCTTTTTTTGTTTTCCCCTAATTTTACTGTTCAAATGTTTGGGATTTGGAATAAACGCTTACTTTCTGAACTTGTCGGTTCATGGATTAATTTTCATAGTTGTATATTTATATTAATGGTGTTTGTTTACTCTTTAGTAAAATCTGTTTTTAATATGGAGAAACTTGAAAATTAGAATTATTACTGCAAATATACGTATACTGTTGTATATATCAGTGACTATGCTCGGGTGCTGTTGTTAATTTGTTATTAGAGCTTTAATGCACTCTGTTTCAAGACTTTGAAGGATAAAGTTGCTGGGTGAATCCATGGATTTTTATCCATTTTAAGTACAAAACCTCCTTTTCGTATTTATTACTAGAAAGGAATTATTTATTTCAGTATTCACATGGTTTTTATAGACCGTGATAGGTAATGGAAAAATCATGTTTCATGAGCTCTTAAATCTTTTTACTTACCTTTATAACCTCCAATTTTCTCAGCCAACTTTAATTTAATTGGAGTTTTTTTTGAAACAAACGTTTTGTTCTTTACTCAGGAAGCTACATTGCAATCGAAAGTGACGAACAAAGTTTATTTTGATATAAGCATTGGAAACCCAGTGGGAAAGCTTGCTGGCAGAATTGTAATTGGATTGTATGGTGATGATGTGCCACAAACTGCAGAAAACTTCCGCGCTCTATGCACAGGTATATATACCAACTCTACACAGTCGACATTTTGCCATCCATTTACATTTTTTAACGTGATTTTCATGAATATTTGATTGAACAGGGGAGAAGGGATTCGGCTACAAAGGTTCCTCTTTCCACCGTGTTATTAAGGATTTCATGATTCAAGGAGGAGATTTCGACAAAGGAAATGTATGCTGTTAATTTTAGCAAAGCATTCGTATTCAATATTTTGGTTGGTTCATTACATGCATGATTGTCTGCTAATATTGCTGCTGATGTTTGCTATATATACTTTTGCAACTTCATGGTGAACACAAAATGGTTATCTTTATAAGAGCTTGCTCGTTCTGAATTGAGGTTATACAGCATGTAAATTATTCTCTAAAATTAGGTCCACGCTTGCCTCTTTTTGTTTGTTGAAAGATGTGTCCTGAAAAACATTGTTCATGGCTATATTCTTTTCCTTCTGACACTTCAATTTCTGAATTGAGTTTATACAGCATGTAAAAAATGTTACTAACACCTTTAATGTTATAACGATTGCAATATGATGACAAGCATTGCCAATTTGCTGTGTAAACTTTGAATGTCTTTTGTGCACTTGTCACAATTCTAGATTTCTAGCTTTGGAACTTTGTAAGGGAAAGGCCGGATTCAAATGAACTAACTCTGAATCCGATGTCTCCTCCCAGAGCATGTCACCATCATCAGTTGTCATTTTTGCCGTGCTTTCATATGAATCTTGTTGTTAAGTTTCTGGATTGTTCTATCATTAACTGCTTCATTATCTGTCTTCTCAGGGCACGGGTGGTAAAAGCATTTATGGTCGTACATTCAAAGATGAAAACTTCCAGCGTGAGTTTTTTCTTTTATTTTTGTCAATATGCTAACTGAATATTTTGTTAGTACTATTGTTGAATAATAAGAGAATACCTTCTCTATCTGTAGTGGTTCACACCGGACCTGGAATTGTTAGCATGGCAAATGCTGGCCCTAATACCAATGGAAGCCAATTTTTCATCTGTACCGTTAAGGTATGCAACAGTCTGAAGTTAATTTATTTAGAGCATGCAAAATTATAAGGAACATGTGCAGGAAATGTTAAGCATCTATGCTGCTGGTTCTTGTTCTCAAACCAAAAATCTAACCATTCTGTCAAAGCGTACACTGTTTCTGGTTTTACTTTAAAATGGAAGGTTCAAGCCTCTACTTTATCAGTAGAGAAAGAAGTAAACCAAACGCAATGTTCTTAAATCTTTCAATTTTTTTTTGAACAATTTAAGCACAATGAATTAAACTCTACTGAGAAAGCTTGAACTCTTTCCGATCCCTGTCAATTCTGAAAACTTGTTAAAATGAAATTGTGCTGAAGTTCAATGTCTTTTAGTGCCTCTAACAGAGAGTTCAAACTTTTTCCCCTTACTAGGCTGCAGTAGAAATAGTGCCAATTGTGAGCACTCCTTTTATTTGATATTCTGCTGAAGTTTTAATAAGAATGATTGTGTTTCTTTCTCTCCAATTCCCTTTTCTACCTTTTTTTTAATATATATATTCGATCTTTCAAGAAGTCGTCCAAAATGTGTTAAATATCATCTAACTTTGTGAAGTCAAAGCTATGTGTAAATATTTTGTTGTTTTTCTTGAAGTTTTTATACTTTATTACGGTGTTATTCTGAGGTTTACCATGATCAAATGTGAGATTGTGCCATTAGAACATGGGAAACGACAAATAGAACTCCTTTGAGTTCTCTTTCTCTTCTCTATCCTAAACTAAATGATTGTTTGTAACTAAGCTTATCCAAAAGACACTAAAACACGTTGGTGGCAGAAAAAAAAAACTTGATTGCATAATCAAGATTGTTGGAGAGAAAAACTGGTTTTGAAATATTGTTTTAATGCTTATGAATTACAGACACCATGGCTGGACCAGAGGCACGTCGTTTTTGGACAAGTTTTGGAGGGATTGGATATTGTGAGGTTGATTGAGTCGCAAGAAACAGACAGAGGCGATCGCCCTAGAATGAGGGTTGTCATAAGCGATTGTGGTGAACTTCCGGTGGCTTAAGGTAGAGAGACAGAGACAGTTACCACCATCATTGATTAGGTTTTTTGCCAAATTTAAATTTTTTAATGTTACTGCTCTGATATAGAGGGAGGAGCTATCTATTGATGAGGCTTGTCTAAGTTTTCTTGTATTTCTTCTGTATGTTGAGAGAGAGAGAAATCGACTATCTTTGTACTTCATTAATAATCGGACCATGTTTCAGGGTTCTGTTGATTTAGTGTTCAGTTCGAAAAATGAATAGTAATAATTAATAAAATCAAACCACGATGTGCGAACCTTTACTTAATAATGCACTGTAGAGGTGTGACTGGAAATGTTCGGTTTGATTTTAGGTCCACTTCTAAAATTCTGAGATACACCTATCACTTGCAATTCCAAAACTACCACTGCATTCAAACTCGGATACTAAAACAATTGAAAAACAAATCCCTGCATCCCGACGGTTACCAAAACTTCCCAGAGATTCACGCCTATCCCACAAAAAATCACTATCCAAATCTTCCCAGAGCAGTCGCCGGCGTTCCGATACGACACCAACATAACGGAGTAGTCATCTTCCTCCACAACAACACACCCATCAACAACAATAGTCATGTTCAGACCATCACTGTAATCTCACGTTTTTTTTTTACACATACAATTATAGAATGACAAAGAAATCCGCTGCAAAACGTAAGAACTACGGCTTACATTCAGTGCAGTTTGTTTTCCCTTCGCCCGTACACCATAAACCCCCAACAAAATCGACTGTTTTGCAGCCGAAGATCAAAAAAGAACTACGACATAGAAACCCTAAACGCAGGTTTTTCGTTCTTTTAGACAATTTATTTTGCATAGCTATTGGGTTATTGACGTGTTAATGTTAATGTCGAAGTTTGATACTTGGTTGGTATTGTATAGTCACATAAAATTATTAAGATTCATCTGCGGTCCCAATTCTGGTGTAGTCAATCATAGTCCTATTCATGTCTGTTCGAGTCCAATCTGTTAGTAGTATAGTAAATTAAGGTTATTGAACACGTTTGTACATTCCGAATTATAATTGTAGTCGATTATATTCATACCGAACTTATTGGACTTAATACCTTGTTGTCACTTTTAGTCATATTGTTTTGTTGGAGTAGTTGTGTTTTGTATAATCAAGATCTTTATCATTCCCATAGACACACATGATTCAAAGGATTGTGGTGTATTTGTACTGTTTATTATTGTACTATTCATTACAAGGAACATATTCCGTCAACTGCCGCTGATTCCCAAAGACGCAAAGATCAGTGTCGATGACACAAGGAGGCTATTGTCGAATCACTTTTGCACTACAAAATTAAGTGATAATATTAAGAATATAATTATTGGGTGGAAAGATGCGTATATTCATTGAGTAGCAGACTAATATATAGGTAAAATAATGCCTTTACAATTGATCCCATTACAAGACTTTCTATAGATACAAAATCACGATATGTGGGATTTGATCTACCAAATTAATATTCTTTACATCAATACTCCCCCTCAAGTTGGAGAGTAAGGATTACTGACTCCTAACTTGCATAGTAAGATTTCAAATTGTTGATGACCAAGCGCTTTAGTGAGGATATCAGCGGGTTGCTGAGACGATGGAAGATACGACGTCGCAATTGAACCAGCAAGCAATTGTTTCCGAACATAGTGACAATCTACCTCAATGTGTTTGGTGCGCTCATGGAAGACTGGGTTCGAGGCAATGTGTAAAGCGGCTTGATTATCGCAAAAAAGACGCATGGGCTGTGTATGAAACACACCAAGAGAGGCCAAAAAAGATTTGAGCCAAGTAAGCTCACAAGTGGTCAGAGCCATAGCTCGATATTCTGCCTCAGCGGATGAACGGGCAACAGTTGGTTGCTTCTTCGTTTTCCAAGATATGGGAGATGTCCCAAGCTGCACGTAGTACGCCGTGAGAGAGCGACGAGTCTTGGGGCAAGCGGCCCAATCAGCATCACAAAATGCTTATAACTGAAGAGAGCTATCGGACCTAAGGAGAATACCCTGCCCTGGAGAACCTTTCAAATAGCGGAGAACACGATATACAACATCTAAATGTTCTTGTCGAGGTTCCTGCAAAAACTGAGTCAGTATGTGTACGGCATAACAAATATCGGGGTGAGTGATAGAGAGATAGACAAGGCAGCCAACTAAACAGCGATAATGATCCGGTTCGCGAACAATACGTCCTGTGGCGCTAGAGAGTTTGTGATTTTTCTTCATTGTTGTAATAGCCGGTTTTGCACCTGTGAGACCCACTTCTTTCAAAATATCAAGTGTATACTTTCGTTGGCATAAGAAAAGGCCAGAAGAATTCCGTGCTGCTTCAATGCCAAGGAAGTACTTTAGGGGTCCAAGGTCTTTGTGTTTAAAACAATTGTTCAGATAAGTTTTAAAGACCTTGCACGCGTGGGTATTGTTTCCTGCCACAATTATGTCATCTACATAGACAAGGAGTGAAAGAAAAATATCACCGTTACGATAAGTAAATAATGTATGGTCAGCATGAGATTGAAGAAAACCGTAATGGCGAAGAGCGGCAGCTAGCTTGGCGAACCAATTTCTGGGCGATTGGCGCAGTCCATATAGAGATTTTCGGAGATGGCAAACTTTATTCGGGTGAGACGAAGAGAAACCTGGTGGAAGACGCATATAAACTTTCTCACGTAGCTCACCATGGAGAAATGCATTATTTACATCGAGTTGGTGGATCTCCCACCCTTTAATTACGGCTACAGCAAGAAACATCCATACACTTACGAGTTTAGCTACCAGAGCGAATGTCTCGTCATAATCAATACCTGCCACTTGAGTATCACTTCGAACCACTACTCGAGCTTTGTACTGTTCGATTGATCCATCTGAATTATACTTGAGCTTGTAAACCCATTTACAACTAATGGGCTTTTTGTCGGGTGGAAGTTCTGAAATAACCCAAGTGCCGTTACGCTCCAAAGCATCAATTTCGGTTTGCATTGCATGACGCCAATTTGGATCCTGTACAGCCTCTTTAAACGTACGGGGTTCAACCCCAGCAGAAATAGCAGCTACAAATACATATTTGATGTGAGAGTTTGAAAAATTGTGACAAGAAATATAATTAGCTAAAGGGAACCGTGTAACAGAGGACCTGATGGAAATGAGTGACGATGGGGGGTGTAATATACGAGTCGAGTGACAAACAAAATCCCGAAGATGCGGCGGTGGTTGGTGAGAGCGAAGAACACGACCGAGAGGCTGCTTGGGATTTTGAACCAAAAGTGCCGAGGTAGAGGTCTCGACAGACGGTTCTGGTGAGTTGGGCTCGACAGATGGTTCCGGTGAGTTGGGCTCGACAGATGGTTCTGGTTAGTTGGGCTCGACAGACGGTTCCGGTGAGGTATCTACTGGGGCTGCTCCCCCTGACTCCATAAGTGGAGGGCTAGAAAGTTCATTTTCATAAGTTTCATAGTTCCAATCAGACGTATGGAACAGCGGAGATTTTTTCATAGACGATGCATATGGAAACACTTTTTCATCAAACTGAACATCCCTGGACACAAAGAGCCTATGTGTTTCGAGATCCATGACCTTCCAACCTTTTTGTCCATGGGGGTAACCCAAAAATACACATTTTCGACCACGAGGTGCAAACTTGTCTTTGGAGCGATCTTTATTATGTGCATAGCATAGACATCCAAACGTGCGAAGATGCAGAAGAAATGGTGCTCTAGAAAATATTTTTTCTTGAGGCGTGAGGCCATGCAAAATGGGAGTGGGTGTCCGGTTTATCAAGTGGGCAGCAGCAGTAAGGACACATTCTCCCCAAAATTCGATGGGTAAAGATGCTTGAAATAACAAGGCACAAGCGATATTTAAAATATATCGGTGTTTTCTCTCAACACGGCCGTTTTGTTGTGGAGTGCTCACGATACTAGTTTGGTGGATTATACCATGCTGAGCATAAAATTAATCATAAAGTTTGAGGTAAATTCCATGCCATTATCGCTTCTAATGATTTTCACTACTTTATCAAATTGAGTTTTAGCAAATGCAAAAAATTGTCTCAAGAAAGAGCTAACTTCACTTTTCTCATGCATAAGATAAACCCAAACGGCACGACTAAAATCGTCCACAATAGTAAGAAATTAAGTTGCACCTGAAAGAGTAGATTTTCGATAGGGACCCCAAATATCACAATGTATTAAATCAAACAAGTTTGTAGCGCAACTACTACTGTTGGGAAAACTAGCCCGTGTTTGTTTTGCACGACAACAAAGTCACATAAAGACTGCTCCGTTGGGGGAATAATTTTATTACCATCAATTTTTAAATAAGACATTCATTTGGAAGAGGGATGACCCAGCCAACGACGCCACAAGTCATAAGAGTCTGTTGCCCGAGCCACTGAAGCTGTGACCGTCGTCATTTGGTTGTAGTGGTTCACCCCCCGACGTGACTCACCCAATCCAATCAGGCTCCTCGTTGTGCGGTCCTACAAAATACATAGACGATCCGTGAATATCACAAAGCAATTAGCATCACGAATCAATTTGCTAACAAACACCAAATTAACGGCCAAATTCGGTACATAGAGCACATGGTGGTGTACAAGCCCTGGTCGTAAGCTAATAGTTCCATCTTTGACGGCTGTAGTACTATCTCCATCGGGTAATTCGACAGGAGATGGAGGAATATCATGAACATTATGCATTAATGAAAGATTACCCGTCATATGGTGTGAAGCTCCACTATCGATAAGCCAACAAACATTAGACTAAATCTTACCGATAATATTACCAGATAATTTGTCGACGGTTGAAATGGGCTCCATTAGAGCAAGTAGGCGGTGCAACTGCTCCACGGATAAGTCAGGCATAGTAGTCGTCGGTACGGAAGACTCGAACGTAGGGGCATAATTTCTGTACTGGGCTGCAGCGGCAAAAACGGGGCTTGGTTGTTGATTTCGTGATGACTGAACACGCCCCCGACCGCGACTTGACGTAGGAGTTATACCAAGTCTGGTCCAGCAACGCTTAAATATATGGCCTTGACGTTGACAAAAGGTGCAAAATGGTCGACCGGACTGAGTAATCGGAGATGGAGTTTGAGCCTGAGCAGCAAACCCAACGACTGGTCCTGTTTCCCGGGGTTGTAGGGCAGATCGATGACTTTCTTCTTGAGTAACCATAGAGTATACACGATCGAGATCCGGAAGGGGCTCGATATTGATA